GGGTGTCCGATCATATTGCTAAGGAACATCGACCCTGCGGGTGGACTTTGCAATGGAACAAGGCTGGTAGTTCGAGGGTTCCAACGAAATACCATCGATGCAAAAATTATGGTCGGAGACCATGCCGGAAAGCGAATCTTCCTACCACAGATTCCGTTATGTGCCTCGGATGACGAGATGTTCCCATTCCAGTTCAAGAGAAAATAGTTTCTAGTTAGACTCAGTTTTGTCATGATGATTAACAAGGCGCAGGGGCAGACTATCTCCCATGCTGGTGTGTATTTGCCTGAACTGGTGTGCTCTTATGGTCAGTTGTATGTTGCGCTATCTAGAGCCACTGCCAGATCGAACATTAGGATCCTGGCCATCCCACCCAATGATAACAAGGATAAGAAAAAAAGACGAAAATAAATGGTATATACACGAAAAAAATTGTCTACAAGGAGGTCCTCACTCTATGAAAAGGTATTGTCTTCTATTTTGTATAACTGTTATATTTTCTCACATTTGTGTCCTTTGTTACTGACATTTGTCGTATCCATCTGTATTTCAGGTAATAGAAGAAGTCTGGGAACAATAGGAGACAAGTAGTATATGATGATGTTGTGGACATGTTACGGATTAGATGTACTTATTATATTATAATATACTTTCAATAACTATATGTGAATTTATGTTTAATTTGTAACATGATGGTTATTATTTCTAACATGCCTCTTTTCTTCTACGGTTAATATTTAGCTTTATATCAAATAAATTGTTAATGAATGGATCATATTTTACATATGTTCTATACGTGCGACTATTTGTCATGAGATTTTATGTATACCTGTAGCAACGCACGGACACTCAGTAGACTTAAAGTTCACGTTAGCTCCCTTAACTTTTGCGAAAATATGTTTTTCCTTCCTAAACTCTAAAACCAGGTAAACCACGTCCCTGAACTTTCAAAACCGTTCGTTTTACCTCCCTGATGGGTTATAAGCGGTTTTCAAATGCGGTTTTATCTTTTTTTTTTAATTTATTTTGGCTGAATCTTTGAAAAATTATAGTAAATCACACAAAAATTATAAAATAGAAAATCTAATTTTATTGGACTCCACACTAGTAGATCTACATAGTGAATATATAATATGATATGATTTAGTATAAATTTTTTTGCTGTAGCATTAGATCTATCTTTTTATATAATTAATTCATAGTTATAGTTTCCATGGTCCAATTATGGTAAAATTTTTATGGTGGGTTAATTATTGTATGCTTGAACTGTAGTAAAAATTTCATACTCATTGGATTATTTATAACTTAGTTATAGATTTATTTAGTTGTATGGTTGTTAAAAGGTATTTATGAATCTATAACTACGTTATATATATCTATAACTAAGTTATACATGATCCAATGAGTATAAGAATTTTACCACAGTTTAAGCATACAATAACTATCCCACCATAAAAATTTCACCACAATTGGACCATAGAAACTGCAACTATGAATTAATTAACAAAAAACATAGACTAAAGCTACAACAAAAAAATTTATACTAAAGTATACCATATTATATGTTTACTGTGTATATCTACTCATACGAAGTCCAACAAAATTGGATTTTCTATTTTATGTTTTTTCTTTGACTTACTATGACTTTTGAAATATTCAACTGAAATAAATAAAAAAGAAAAAGACAAAACCGTCTTTGAAAACTGTTTATAAGTGGTCAGGGAGGTAAAATGAACGGTTTTAAAAGTTCAGGAGGTGGTTTACCCAGATTTAGGGTTTAAGGAGAAAAAAACAGATTTTCGCAAAAGTTAAAGATAACGTGGACTTTTTTCAATACACTTCGCCACTGCCGATGAACCCAAGAAACGTCCATTAAAATCGCGCGCTGTTGCTGAAAGGGATCGAATAGACATTTTGGCCCGGCCCATAACAGCACAGAGGCCCGATCCATATTTTCACGAAACCCTAGCACCTCCTATATAAGTTCTCAATCGTGCCTCTTCGTCTCTTTCTCGAGCCTAACCCTCACGCGCGCCGCCGCCGCTACGCCCCGCACCTCGCTTGCTTTCCCGTCGCCAAGATGGTACGTCGCTTCACCGTCTTCCTCCCATTCTTCCTGTGAGCAAGATTTCTACCTTCTGTTGTTTGTCGTACGGTGGATGCGTAGTTCTGTCTGGCCGCTTGTTATGATGTATCGCGCGAGATCTAGCGTTCGACTTCGTGGTCCACCTCCAGTTCGATATGTATTGGGCTAGGCTCCATAGTTTAGTTTTCGGGATAGGAGCATGTCCAGCAATCATACTTTGGATCAGTCGCTCTGTTTTCATATAAGTTGAAGGTCGTTTGTCGTAACACTGGAAATCCGGAATAGCTTGTGCTTAAAGTGCAATTTAGTGCTAGGCTGCCGGTAGGGTCATGCGGGTAGTTGGATTGTGCTAGCCTGGATTGTGCCATTTCGAGTGGCACACTGCCTTTTGTGCAGTGTAGCCTTGTAGGTTTGGAGAAGTTGCTACCTCAGGTTCGCCAGGGTGAGGTGCGAACTGTAGAGGCCACAACACATCAGTGTGGTTTTCATCCTGAGTGCTTGTGCAAGTTCCAGCAGATTTGGAAACATACATTTTTAGTAAACTCACTTTGGTCACCTGACACCTTTGCCATGTAATCTGAAGCCACTCTGCTGCACCAGGCAGCATGAAACATGAAAGTAGTATCAAGTGCAAAGATTAACATTTGAATACCTCATGTATAAATCAGTGGCTTATAATACTTTTCCCCTTGTCTTGATATAGTTGTTATGCCTTTGCTTTTCAAACGTATATAAATAGTTTCTCTTGCTGCTATTGGAGAGTGAATGGCAACTAACTCAGCTTAATATTTTTTAGTGGTCTACATATCTAGTGTTTATTTAAGAAATTATAATTTTCTCTTGCTCATTGTTAACCTACTTGAGTGTGCACAATCTTTTATATTGATACTAACATTAGTCTTGAAGTTACAATTTTACACTTACCAGTTATATTGCATTGAACAATTCTAGTGAGCAGCTGTGTAATTTATTTTGTTTATAATGCCTATGCAGACTAAGCGCACCAAGAAGGCGGAATTGTTGGCAAATATGGTACATGCTCAAAAATGACATATTTCCCAATTTGTGCGTCTGGGATATGAAGTTAACCTTGCAAATTATAATGTTACAGGAACCAGGTATGGTGCTAGCTCATGTAAAGCAGATCAAGAAGATGGAGGTATCTCAGCATTCCAAGTACTTCACGAGTTCTGTGGGAAGGTAGATCTTCTGTTAGTTAGCCTGCTTCTGCATTTGAGTCTGCTATTTTTTGATCTATTACACTGCAAGCTGTCTTTATGTATTCGTTATCGCCACTACTAGACTGTTATCAACTGTAGGCTGCGGACTGATTTTGAGCACATGAAAGCAATCGGTCTTAAATATATTTGTTTGTTTATTCTCATATTTGAATGGTTTATAATATGTTTAGGCATGTTGAGCAATTGTTTCTAAGATGTGTCCCACTTTTGCTGTGTTGTCTTTCCAGTTTGCTGTGAAGAGGAAAGCAGTTGGAATTTGGGGATGCAAGGACTGTGGGAAGGTCAAGGCTGGCGGTGCTTACACCATGAAGTAATTATTTGCTGACTCTCATCTTGTGTTCCAAAACCGTAATTTGTTAAGCATGGCTAAATTCTGTTATGTATATTTGCAGCACTGCTAGTGCAGTCACTGTCAGGAGCACGATCCGTCGCTTGAGGGAGCAGACTGAAGCATGATTTAGCTCGTTATAGCGGGGTTCTCCTAGTTGCTCTTGTCAGGCATGCTAGGGTCCTCTAGTTGCTGTTGTCAGGAATGTTGGGGTTCTCTAGTTGAATCATGAGACTGGCTGTTTGGCCGAGATAATGCTCTAGCATTTTTGGTGTATGCTCTAGGATCTCTAAAAGTTGGGTGCTAAGATTTGTACTTGGTTACCGTTATGAATTTAACAAGTGGTATTTGATCCTTTGCCTGTCTTAATGACGTCAAATTTGGTTGTGGTTTCTACTCTTGGCTGTGTCAATGGTTTGCTGTTCTTGTTGAAACTCTACCGATGTGCTGCGTCTTCTCAAAACAGAAGAGTTCTTTGTTGGTCTGGTGGTTGACTCTCGTTAGCTGAATGTTTAGCTGTCATTAATCATAGGCTGCTATCTTCAATGGAATGGTATAGTTTGAACTACTGACGTATTTACCTGGTGAGTGCTGTTAAATTTATTTTATGAGTAACTTACAATTTTCTGCACAGACGATCCACACATGATGCAAATGAAATTATTTTCACTGTTGACAAGAGCCACATAATTTCATACACGTGACAGTATATTTCTAAAATCTAAAATATATAAAATATAGTTATGAAAGTTACAAAAGTTTGGCATGCCGCACCGTCGCAGTTATTTTTGGATTACTTCACCCCTCAACTTGACGCATCCTCCAGCAGCTTCAACCAACCAATTTCTTGAAACAATGACTACTGACTGAATGTCTCCAATGACAGAGATACAGATCTTGCTGCTTGGCATGGGTTCCCTAATTTTGTCTGGAGATCATACCACTGTTGGTGCTGGTGATAACAGAGCTGTTATTTCTCGGCGATGCTCTATCAATCGCATTTAGTCGATTCAGGACACATTGGCGTCAGTTAGCCAATATATGCAGATAGTACCATCTGATCATACAGCACTCCCACTCCAAAGAAAACACCGAAAGCAATTGCAAAGATGACCTTGCTACTAGAACACAGTTTTGTATAGACAACAGACACTGGACCTGTCTCTGATGGACTGCAGTGGCGACCCAGCCAGCATTGCACCACACAGCTTCGGGTTTCCATCGAAGCTAGAATTTGCAAACGTACTAAGCTGGCCTGTGGTTGGAATAGGTCCTTCTAGGTCATTGAAAGAAACATTGAATTTAGATAGAAAGTGTAGATTGTTCAGCGCGACTGGGATTGCACCTGTAAGATGGTTGCTTGACAAGTCGAGCACCAGCAAGTTTGTCAGATCGCAGATCGATTTTGGGATATCTCTGTGTAATCTGTTGAAGCTCAAATTAAGCGAAAGGAGCTCTTTCAAGAGGCCTATATCTGGAGGGATTACGCCAACAAATTCATTGGTTCCTAGGTTGAGCACTTTTGGAAAAGCATTGGCCATGCGGTATTGAAATGCGGTGTCTACATATATTGGTAGCTCAAAGACTCTTGGATCCAAATGTGCTGTGGTCTTCTCTGATCTCATCATTGGCATCTTTATTAAAGATGTTGGAATTTCCCCAGTAAGGCTGTTGTTTGCTAAGTCTAAATAGAACAGGAAGTTTAGACTGCTGATCCAGTAGGGTATGGGTCCAGTTAGCTGATTGTTATTTAACATTAACATCTCCAAATTTGTGAGCTTGGATAACCACCGAGGTATTTTCCCTGACAAGGAGCACCCACCTATGGAAAGAACCTGAAGATTATCGAAACCGTCAATGCTGTCATCATCTGGCATGGTCTCATGCATGAAGGTGGATCCGATCAGAAGAGTGGTCAGTTTCTTGCTGCTCTTAAGGATCTGAAGGGTGTTTGTGATGTTGGTAAAATTCTTTTGGCCAAGGGATAGGAAGGTGAGGGACTTCAGATTACCTATTCTTGGTGAAAGTTGCCCATTTAAGTTGTTGCCAGATAACCTCAATGCAGTCAAATTTCTGCAAGAGTATATGCTTTCCGGAACCGCGCCGGTGAAGTTGTTGTACAGAAGGTCTAAAGTTCTGAGATTGTGCAGGGTAGAGAAATTGACCTTGCCAAGCAATCCACTGAAGCTGTTGCCCTTGAGGTTGATGGTTATAAGGTCTGTGCAGTTGCTCAGGGTTGATGGCAACTCCCCAGACATGCTGTTGTAGTCCAAATGGAGTTCCTGCAATCTCTTGAGCTGACCTATGGAGCCTGGAATCTTGCCCCTCAATTTGTTTGCTCCAAGATCAAGGATGACCAAATCAAGCAGTTTGGCTATATGCGCGCCATCAAGTATTCCTTGTAAACCATTGTTGGGAAAAGAGAGGCACTCCAGCGAGGTAGCATTGAAGAGCTCATCAGGGAGATTTCCATTCAGGTGGTTGTGTCCAACCTTGAGCACTCTTAGCATGGAACAAGCACCAAGACCAGGGGGTATTCTCTCCCTAAACTGGTTGTAACTGAGATCAAGAACCATCAAGGACGGCGAGTTTTTGCAGAAATGAGTTGGCATCTGCCCGGTAAAGCTGTTGTTACTGGCATTAAGCGCAACCAGGTTCTCCATCACCTTCCATGCAGTGTATGGAAACTGTCCTGTAAACAAGTTGCTTGAGATGTTCAGTACCTGCATTGGTAGATCAGGAACTGACGAGCTCAGCTCTTGCACTTGCAGGTTCCCAGTGAGGCAGTTGAAGCTGACGTCAAGTAGAATGAGGCTGCTGTGAGAGACCAATTCCTGCGGCAGGTAACCAGACAACGAGTTGTGGGAGAGATTGAGTCGCTGCAGGGCGGTGAGGTTGCCAAGGGTCGCTGAGATGTGGCCCTGAAGGTTTCTGGAAGCCAGAAAGACATCGACGACTGCGCCATCTGAATCGCAGGTGATCCCTTCCCATTTGCAGCAGTCCATGCCGTTCCGCCATGAACCGGCGAGGCCACCGTACTGGGAGAGCTCAGCGACGAACTGGAGCAGGGAGCTCTCCTCTTGCTCCGTGCAAGAGGTGGCATGAGAGGCCATAGAGAGAACCATCGCCAGGACAAAAGTAAACAGGTGCATGGCTAACCACCTCATGCTGCTGCTGGTGTTGTAAGAAGAATGCCGTATTGGATTCATGATTTCCCTGAAGTGATGAACTCTTTGCACTTAGTATAAACAAAAGTCCTCGATAGCAGAGAGCCTCCTTGTATGCTGTTGTTTTATATCATGGTCAAACTACTGCTGTTTAGACTTGTTGACGGGCATGGCTTTTGACCAATTCAGTAATGACCAAAGATTATTTTGCACTCGATAAACACTACCTGCAAAAAGAAACTATTTGCATCTGTCATATGTTGAAATGTTGCCAGTGTGTATTTGACAAGAAAGTCCACGTTAACAAGTACAGATTGCAAACAAACAATTTCCCCAAAAACCAGAAAGGCCCCGTTCGGCTTACCCCCATCCTGTTCGTTTCGTCGTAAAGGATCGTAGATTATTTACTGCTGGCTGGTTTGGTGTGAGAGAAAAATATTGTTCCAGCTTATAATCCACGATCGTATACGAGCAAGCGAACAGGGGTCTGCGTTGAATTTTGAGCCGGCTTGTTCGGCTTCTTTTTTCAGCCGAAACAGTATTTTTCTCTCACAACAATTCAGCTAGAACAGTATTTTCAGCCAGTTTCAGCCAAAATTCAGCAAGCCGAACGGGGCCTGCGTTGAATTTTGAGCAACAATTGTGATAAACATGGTTAGGAGCCGGTCTTCTTGACCCGGAAAATTATCTTGACATGGGATCTTCTTGATCTGCTGAGTTTACCTCTGTGCTCTTACACCGGCTTGCAATTTTATTTCTAGGTTGCTGATTGGGCTTTATGAACGTTAGTACGTACGCGACATCGACATATGCTTGCCTTTATTTTTTTTATATGCAGATTAAACATGCACGGTCACTAGTATGTACCATACGTTTTAACTGTTGAGGCTCTAGAAACAATGTTTCCTTCTATCGGGATTATAACTTCATTATTAACATTGACACGATCTATTGGGTAACATCTACAAAAGGTATATATATATAGTAATACTCCCCCAATTTCAAATTATAAATAGTTCTGACTTTTCTACGTATATAACTCTTATTACCCATCTAGACATAATATATATCTAGACATATAATAAAAACTATATATTAAAAAAAATGTGAGATGAGTTATAATTTAGAATAGGAGTACCAGTAAATATGTCCGTGTGTCTGTAACGAAACATACAACTTATTGTGTGGCTACCTAAATGACTTGTGTTTAAGAGATTTATACAACTATCGTGTCATCTGTTCTAATACACCTTAGCATTGTACTGGCTTTGAATTGAACATTGGAGATGTGATCTCGTGTTGGATTTGGATTAGAAATGCGTGAATGGTGAGAATGAGATGCGGTCAAGGGAGAGTGAGGTGCGGTGGGATGGGATGGGACGATGGCCACATCTCGCGCTGCTCTGCGCCTCGCGCCATGGCCCCATCCACATCTCGCCCGTCGTAGAAGGAGAGGTAGGGGAGGCCTGCGCCTGCACCGCCATCCAGTGTGCCCATCGACAGGAATGGAAGGCCTGCGCGCTGCGTCTAGGGTGTACCGGAGTTTGATGGCTACCGGAGATCTCCACCAGGTAGGCTGTGGCCACCGGCGACGCTGTGTTTCAAGTGTTTCAGGCGTTTCAGACTTATGTTTCAAGTGTTTCATCTGTATATATGGGATGTTTCATATGTTGTAATGATAATATACACATGTTTCAAGCCTATATTTAAAGTGTTTTGTTTCATATACATGTTTTAAGTGTTTTCATCTGAATATTGCGTATGTTTGTTATGGCTGCACACACATGTTTCAAGTGTTTGTTTTCATGTGTTTCAGACTTATATTGCAAAAGTGGATCTGAATGTTGCATATGTTGCTATGGCTATACACGCATGTTTCAACAGTATATTTCAAATGTTTTATCGGTTTCAGTTGTACGTTATAAATATTTTATCTTTATATTTCAAAAGTAGATCATGTGTGACGTTACAATGCACGCTAGTGACTGACGGACGGCAACCTACCGCGGCCGCATGGTGTTGCTGCAGGGCGCCGCCGTGGTTCACGTGCGGGCACGGGATGGGCGCGACAAGCCTGCCTGGTGCTACTGCCGAGGCACCGGCGTGGTTCATGTGCGGACGCAGGGGCGCGGTTCCAAACGTTGGGTGCAAGCGCTGAGCTCCGTCTGGGTGAAGGGAGTCAGGTGCGTCGGGCACCGGTGTGGGAGCCTTGCGCACGTTCGGCGCTAGTCGTCCCGGGTTAATTTTTTTTCGAGTCCATGCGCGGGTACATGACATACCCGGTGGCCCCGCCGTCCCACGCCCGCCCCACCGTCCCCGTGCATGCTCTGCTCGCCGCCCTTGCGCCTCCCGCGTCCGCACCACCGCCGGCAAGGGTTCCGCAGCTGGCCTCCTTATTCAACCGTAGTCCTCAGATCCGACCGCTCACCGGGCCGAATCGGCCGACCACCGGCGTCCTAGGGCCGGCCACGGCCTCAGCCTGCTGCTCTCCTTTGGTCATCGCCGGGCAAGGCCTGGCAACATGCTATCTGGCTGCTTGCAGAGTTCGTCAGAGAGATGAAGCAGGCAACGTGTGAAGGGTAATCAATGCGGTTGCATCAATAGCCACTTAGGAAAGAAGTAGCAGCAGCCAGCAACAGGTAATTTGTGAGAATGATGATGCTGTAATATTCCTAACTGCATTAATTGAAATTGAAAAAATGATGAAAAGGTTGTTTCGGTTGTTCTCTAGTTGTCCAAAAGCATAGGAAATAGGAACTAATCTGGAATAACCAGTCTAGAAAATCAAATTTACTATTCTGGCAGCGGATGGTGGGCAAAAAGAATCCCCAATCTCTCTTGTCTCTGTAGCTGATAAAAATTCTCCTAATAACTATTTTCTTCCTTTTTTTCTCTGATCGAGATGCTGCTGCTGGCTAGCTATTATAACCACCGTGATCATGACTACAAGGTGTAAGATCATAGCAATAAGCAGTCATCCTTTCTCTGATCGAATGTATTGTACTTTTTGAGTGGTTTCTTTTCTTCTGTGAAGCATACTAGATGTAGCTAGCATAGTTTTTGTCTTGTGCCTATATGTCAGATGAAATATATTGTGCAGTATGGATGGAAATCGAAGGCATTATTATGACTACTACACCTGCCCTCTTATAAGTTATCTCAAGCTCCAAAATCTAGCTATTTTGCTCATCTTATGTAATCGCATCTGCAGTGTGCCAATAAAATGGAAAAAACGAAACAAAATTTAATCTCAAAGACAGTAACGGAAAATTAGTCTACATTGAAACTTTTATCCAATAACAATAGTTAATGTATGATAGACATGTTAAAAAATAAAGGCTGCAACCTCCCAGGGGCATAAACAGCTATTCCCGCCAAAACTTGCATTTACTAGATCTCAGATCTGCGGTGGAGCTGGTGCTCCAGTTCTGCGTTTTCAGTGGCCGAGCTCTCACAAACAGACCTTGACCGCTCTTTGCCCCCATGCATCGTCTCCCTCTCCTCACGCCCCACAATCGCCCCTGCCCTCGCCCTCGACAGTCGACGCCGATCATTGCCACCATCCGCGAGGGGACACACGGGTCGCCCCTCTAGCCCCAGAACCATGGCCGCCATCCGTGAGGAGAGACGGATCACAATCATTACTTTTTATTTTTGTTATAGTCAACCTTGGTTTAAACGCATTACTGTTCAGCAAATGAGTCAAATGACCAGACTATAGTGACGCAAGCCAGAGACAGATTTACAGTGCTTTGGCACAAATCTTTAAATGTCCACCGAATCACAACAGTTTTTTTTTGTCCTGAGATCTCCCGCACGGATAAGCCGACCGCTCACCGTTGTTCCCGACCACACTACGGCTGGAGGTAGAAGAGGGAGGGAGAACAGAGCGTACACACAGCACAAGCATCAGCGTTGGCCGGAGCTCTGCAGAGGAGATGGCAAAACTGAACTCGCTCTCTTTACTGAGTTGCAGTGGGAAGCTATATATACAACTTTACCCATCTAATCCTAGTACATGCTGCCATGCTGCTACAGTGACTAGATGTGACAGCTGACTTTGGCGCCTGCCCCTGCTGTGGCTACAGTACGGCAGGGGAGCCTTTCGGCGCCTGCCCCTGCCGCGGCTACAGTACAGCAGCAGGGGAGCCCTTTCGGCGCCTGCCCCTGCCATGCGTATACAGGGGGAGAGCAGCATATTGCTTTATAATTCTTTCCCTAATCCTGCTGCTAACCCTATAACCTCCACCATGTCGATCATCTTCTTCAGCTCCGTGAACCGAAGACGGCCAAGCGGCTTGGTGAGAACGTCCGCAAGTTGCCGACCAGTTTCGATGAACTCGATGACGATCTGCCCTCCATCGACACAGTCCCTGAGGAAGTGGAACTTACGTCGATATGCTTGCTCCGGTCGTGGAGAACCGGATTCTTCACGAGGGCGATGGCAGGCTGGTTGTCCACCATCAATGCTGGTGGGTGAGCTTCCACACCGGTCAGCTCGCCTAGCAGCCGGCGCAGCCACACAGCTTGGCACGGCGCTGTGGCCGTCGCCACGT